ATTTTTAATTAGTTAAGAATTTGTAATTTACTGGCAGACTTAGATTAAATTCTAGGAAAAATATTGTAAATAATAATATACTAAATAAATAATAAATATTAAAAAAAATTTCTAAAGTAAGATTTTATGTAATTTATATTTCAATCAAATTTTTACTTATTTAAAATACCTGAACTATATCAAATAATATATTGTATTATTGTGACTTGTAAATCATTGTGAATTTTACTATTTTAAATACATATAAATTTGATTAAATATCGTACATCGTGGTTTCAACTTTTAATAATTCAAATAAATTGACAAGAAACAAGATATCACAACTATTGATAATAAGACAACTATGATCAATGTTAATCTGAGGCTCTTAAGGTACGCAATTCTATATGTTTTTTAGGTATGTGTTTGGCCTATCCTCTATATACTATCTACGATTATAATAAGAATCGATGTGGTGTATTTTTAAAATAACTAATTAGAAAAATTATGTAGAATTAGTTTGCGAAAACAGTCGAAGTTTAATTCTGAAATGTTATCACTTATCATCATTTTTCATAATAATATTATAATATACATTGTGAATGGCGTATCATATTATTTTCATAATAATATCTAATGTGCCTATATAGTATACAACATGGCGCAAGTTTTCTCCGATTTGATTTTTAATCTCTATCGAATTTCTATATCAAATATAATGTTTAAGTTTGATGCGGCAACGTTGCGCTGATATTAGTTACCTCCTTGAATCGGACCTTGTCAATAGTCTCTCGTGTATATAAATTCGATATATATATATATATATATATATATATACGTCCTACGAATAACCACAGAATCTCTAGACGTCAGATATATGTTTAAATTAAATGAAAAATTACTGTAGAAACCAAATGGGTTTATAACCACCAAGAGTAGGTACACTAATTTATTGATATTTAACATAACTACGGTTATGTATAGCGATATACCCATATTATGTGTCTACTTGACGAGAAGTCTGACTAAACATTTTAGAACTATTCATATTTGATATTATATATATATATTCGACGTGATCAGAATTTTATTTGATATCAATATTGTCTCATATGAATAGGCCAAACAAAAAATGATTTATGAAATTCAAATGCAATAAGACACAATAATCCAAAATATACTTTTAGGGGTGTCTTGGGGTTAAACTTTTGAAAATATAATAAGAATGACTACGTTTTATGATATTACAGAAATGTATGTATGTGATACAATATTAGAAAGTCTGTTTTATGATGCATTTCAGGGGTGCAAAACCAACATTAAACAGAGTGACATGGTCTGTCAGTATTCAAAACTTGAAATGTTAGCAAAACTACATTATTAAATTATTTTTATAACCATTCATAATACTATTCAAAACAAAATATTAAGTTTTTTTTTTTTTTTGTGTACTCATTATATTTTAATTGATTATTGTAAAAAAAAAAGTTAACTAAAAAAAAAATACTAGAATATTTATTAAATAGCAGTGGACTTGATTAATATTGATGTGTTTTCTTTTTTGCATATAGGTATATAATTTTTTTAAGAATATTATTCTGCAAATAATAAGTAGTTATTGATAATTAATAAATAAAACAAACAAATAAATTAATATTCAATTCAAATTTGAATTATTAAATATTTCGAATTAAATTAACTAAAAATGTATTAAATGGTTAAATAATGTTGATTGGGTGATTGATGATTATTATTCATCATCGTATATATAAATTATTATTGTTTCGAATATTATGTAAGCTTTAATCAAAAACATCCATTTCTTTTTTTCTGAAAGTTTTAATTTATAAATAATGGGATTATGTATAATACTGAAAAATAAGTTCAAATAAATCAAAGACGCTTTCTCTACTAAACAAAGTTGTTTTACATAAATATAAGACAATAATAAGATTAACTATTTGGTTATCCACTAATAAAAAATGTTATTATATCGACTAAATAATTCGCATAAATAACGATAATAATTACCAAATCTCGTTATAAATACAATTAACCATTAGTTTATTTATATTAATTTCTTCGGTTAATTGAGTTTTATAATATAATAATTGATTAACAAAATACCACGATGAGTCAGTTATTCACATAAAATAGTTCTAACACATCAATTGGTATTTTATTGTGGTGAAGTCTGATGAGTCTGTGACGACTTTTTCGACAATGTTGCATTTCTACAGACCGTTGATAACACCAGAATGTGTTTATGAACTTTAAGTATTTTGAGACCAAAAACAAGTGAAGTGACAAAACAACGATGAACCTCATTGTTACCGTAATAAAATTCAAAAATTCGTTAATCTCGAAATTGGAAGAAAAACATAATTTCTATAAACTTGTAAATGCCTGATTTACACATTTATATTTTTTTTACTATGGTTTTAATTTTTCTGAGTTTACTGGTAGAAATAATGTAATTATATATTAACATTTGAACAAAACTTTTAATTTTTATTTTATAATCAGACAATATATGCATTATTTTTTTCTTATAAATAAAATATTAAACTATTATTTTTTTTTTTATAAAATGATTTAAAATCGTATTTACAGTCATAATTAATAATTTTATATTATACATCAAAGTTTCATTTGTATTCTATTGTACTCATTTTAAAAACACTCGAAATTGTATAAAGTAGGAACGTAAATAATCGATATGAATACAAAATCACATTTTCGGTTTCAATCATTATAATGATTTGTTTGCGTGTACTATTTATACATTTATGTATTAAGACTAACGCAGTTCTCCGTATAATACACAAACATATTATTATGATGTTGCACAACGATTGTGTAGACAACGCAGTGATTGATGGATGGTGCCCTAGTGAGAAAATACAATGACGGCAAAAACAGAAGTCCCATCTACCTCGTATCATTTATCAATAATTATATTTCTACACGCGCATACAGTGTTAAAAATTAATCCTATACGATAAGTAGGTACCTTGTTTTTTTATTTTTTATTTTAGAACTTATAGACTTAATAGCAATAATGATTGCATTGGTTATTTTCACTGGTCTTGTTAACCTTGTCAAGTTATCATATTTTTCCATGCTGGGAAACCGCGGTTTAATAATTATTAATTCTTTTAACGGATTAGATAGATATTTTTTTAATATTTTATAAATTAAAAGGGAAAATTTCATGATTTTTTCATTAGCTTTCTGATGTACAGAAAAACATAATTGTAAAAAGAAAATCCGGTCTTTTATAAAATATACATTAAAATAGTGATGGATTTATTTTACAATATTTGAATTTATATACGATATACAAAACATAAATTATGAAAAACTCACAAGAAAAAATCCGTTGTTAACAATTTTGGCTAAAGAAGAGAAAAAAACTGAGAACTGAATATTACATAACAGATCATAAATGTTAAGTATTTTTTTGGAATTATTTATAATGGTAGCATTATTATAATTTTTACTAATTAAAAATAAAATATAATTTAAACTTTGATCATGATGGATTTAAATAATTTATAACTTTATATTTACATCGACTAAATATATCATATATATATAAGAACACGAAACTTAAAAGCGATTTAAAAAAACATCAGTTTAAAATTTAAAATTAAAATTTCATTTTTATGGAGAATAAATAAATATTTTTAATCCAAAGCTCATTCATAGAATATACATAAACTTTTTTTGTTAAGATAACGACTGGGTTTCTAAAAGTTAAAATATTTAATTTATCAATAATTTGTAAGCTTTAAACTTATTTAAAATAATAATCGATCGGATCGAGTTTTATTAAGTTCATAACTTTGTTAATTTTTATTAACATTTAAAATTGATAGCATGTTAAATTAATGTTATTTATTAGGGAACTAATTTTTTTTTTATATTGACCTACTCGGTTGAAATTAGAATTGTTTATTTAATGAATAATACCACAAGCCACAAGCATGCTAACGGGGTTGAGGTACTTTTATAATTTAGAAAACTATAAAACAGTAAAAACTTTAGTAATAAAACTATTTATATAGATTTATTTATATTTTTATTTTGTTAAATTTTAACAACAACATATTTATATTATATTATATAACATAATATATTAATTATGTAAAAAGATTTAAGGTCGATAATGATTATTCTAAAATCAGCTAAATCTGTAATAACATTTGTACAAAATTGATGTTTCTATAAATGCTTGTGACTAAAAGCAATGATATAAAATATTTAAAATAAGAATTTCGAAATTAATTTTCCAACTTTTATCCAATGGAACGTAATTAACCAGCAATTCTGCAAATACTATTTTCTATGCATTCTCATTAAGTGATCGAAGTTAGAAATAGTACTATAAATAATTGTACCGACGGTTCCTAATGTTCCTATACGTATTATACTCATCATTTTTCTATTACTTAATTATAGTATTTTCAATTTGATACAATATAAAATTAGATCATTTAAGTTATGTACGTTTTACTGTATGGACTTAAAAACGTTAAAAATATATATACTTATTTTCGTATCATGTTATATAATTTTTGTATCTTCAATTATATTTATTAAATAATCAATATATATAGAGTGAATCGCCAAAAGTGCTGACATTTTTTTTCTTTAATGATTCAGCTATACAAAATATTTTTTTCAGAATCTTTAAACATAATAAACACTATATATTTTCATTTTTTTTTTTACTTTTTTTTAAAGTTAAGTTTAAATTTACTTTAGACTTCAAAAACTGCATTGTTAGTTAAAAAGTTTTTATACGTATTCTGAGAAAGTACTAGTTTTAACATAGACTTGCCAATTTTTTTAAAACTTATTACGAAAGTCAAAGATGTAATAAATAATAAGAACTATTTGGTAAATCTAGCCTAAAAGTATCTTTATAAATAATTCTTAAATATAAAATACTAAAACGACAAATAATATATATATATATATATATTTTTAAATAATTTTAATTAATTTTTACTTACAACAGATGCACCTTCAACGAGAATGGATTTGTCACCATGTTCCAACCAACCACCTCCCAGAATTCTGGTCGTGACATTTAGTTCATCCGGTTTAATACATTTTTTGAAATTATCATAGCAGTCGGCTAAAACAAACAAAACAATAAATTGTAAATACTAAAAATATGCTAAAATATGGTTGATAATTATTATTAAAAATTAGTATTTAAGTGAATATATGTCAAGTTGATACTTTGAAAATATAGATTGAAATTTTTGGCATACATAACCAAACTATCTTTGAATTCCATTATATCTTTTGACAAACGCTCACGTTAAAAAGAAGATAAACATCTAAGTTATTTATATTTAACAGAGTTTAGGACGGAGGAAATTCACGAGTAACCAAATTTAACATAGATGTATTTTTACGGGTAACGAAGTGTATAAGGATAACTATATAGTATAATATAGTTACAGACGAAATCAAACTTAGACAATTGTAATGATGTGTGAGATTGTGACTCACACATCATTGTATATTATATAACTATAAAACTCAAATAAATAAAATAACGGTCAAGTTGTCGCACGTAGATTAAAACCCCATAAACATCCTTTCACCACTGATGAAAGAAACAACTTATATTATATGATCACGAAGGGATTGACACATGATTTGTGGTAATGTGCCGCAAAGCATGTGACCCAATTTCGTGTGCTGTCAAGGATGGTCCAATGAGAGTCTCTGTCGCTTAGGAGAAAGCCTATTTCTTTAGAAAACGCGGAGACCTTTGATGGTGCCGCCTGCGACTCTGGCTTGCTTAAACAGCCATGAACAGTGCATGAGCACCAGCCAAGCTATCAAGTGTATGAGCACCGACCAAGCTATCAAGTGCAGGCGCACCAGACAAGCGAGCAAGAGCTTTTCCCAAGACCACCACACGCACAAGATTCTGCGAGCGACAGCTGGACTTCTTCTTTTTTATAAGTCAAATCAGAGTTGTTTTTTTTTATTTAAATTTAAGTTCTTCTTAAGTCGTTTCATTATTTCTGTTACCTTATATCTCTCTCCGAGGAACTTACAATAGGCATTCACTGCGGCGAATAAGGTAAGGTGCATGTCTATAAAATGTCTATTGTTAGTACAGGTTCTTTTACTATCTAATTTACGTAACGGTCCGCTTGATTACATTCTCGAATACAAGACTTCGAGAACCCTCCGAAGAACAGGAGGAAGGTATAATAACGCGAGAACAAGTATATTCAATAATTATTAACATCGGACTTACATCCAAGGCTTGTGTCCCTTGTGTTTGTCCGGCCACTTCTTTTTATCTATTTTAGCTTTATATTTATTTTATTTTATCATATTTTTCTCGTTATTACACAATATAACATCAAAACGCTTTTCAATGTCAACGGAATTTTATCAGACGCAATATCATAATATCGTATTTATTTATGTGCGTTAATTTAGTTCTTCATTATTGTGGTCAATGGAAGTTTATTGTTTGTGAGTGAAACGCTGTTCTCGAATTGTTGAACTTAAATCTCAACCATACATAGGCGTAAATAGTGTTTGAAGTTTGGGGGGAGGGGGCTGAAGTCAAAATCCATCCCAAAAACCTTAAAATATTTTAAACAATATTTACTGACAGACGATAGTCATTAACATTTAACGAGACAGAATTTAGCGAGGCTTCGCCCCTCTAGCCTCCCGCTATTTACGCCTATGCTGAATCATATGATCCGATTAAGTCCGAAGAATTTACAAGTCATCATATATTTTGCAAGTTAATAATTTATAATTTTAAATTTGTCTTTCTCCACTTTAACTCATTCTATTTGCACACATATATCATACTGTATTACTGTCTACGAATAGTTTTATGCAATATAAGTCGAGAATTATTCAATGTCATAAGTATTCATGCGGAAAACAATATGATGATTTTCGATAGAACGCAGGGAATAAATACAAAACAAAAACAAAAATAATAGTAGGTATACAATAACATAATATTACTGTATGTTTTCCCGTCAATTGAACGACGATGTTTTACAACATATATTATAGCTTATTTTTGTTATATTAGAGATACCGGCTAAATCATGGCCACACGAAGAGTTAAAATACGCCCGAAATACTGAGTATGCGTTTTCTATTGCAGTCAGCACATTACATGAATGGTTGTATTATAAATTTATAAGTATAAAATGTTCGAGTGAATTGTATGAAAACTATATCGACATACTTAACGAAACTATGCGTTTGTATGAAGATCAAAAAACGTTGTCTTAAACTGAAAAAAATGTTAGTAATTAACTCATAAATAAGAAATAGTAATACAATATAATCTAAACGAAGCATGGAATAACTTAAGATTCAATCTTAAACACTAATATTTAATTAAAATCTAAAACCATTGAACTCAAAAAAATCATCTACTACAAGTAATAATTATAATATATATTCATTTGTTTATTTAAACTAACTTTTTTCAATTCTCAATAAAACTTCTCAGTTTTTCCAAAAAACCTGGATAAGTTTGAACAATTTGAAAATTAACAGGTCACTTCTTAAATAACGCAAAACATTCTCAAGAATTTGAAAATATGATCTTTAAGTGTATTTAAAAATTTTAAAAATTCGAATTACTTATTAATTTATTACCAAAGAAAAAATTAGGTTAAACATGCATGGCATGAATCGCCAAGCTTAGTATAATATAATATTCGATATTTTACTGCGTAGAAAATAAAATATTAAATAGCAAAGGCTACGTTTACTATTAATTTAAATTTTTCTCGGAAAATATTTATTTATTTTTTATTAGAAATTTTGATCTCTATACATATATGGATATGGAATGGAATGTTCGTATCACGTATTAGCTATCGTGTCGTGTACAAATCATATTATTCCATACTAGAACTCTAATATTTATCCCGATAATCTTTGATGAGGGAAACGGGAAACGTTTATATTGTAGAATTCGTGTGTCTGTCCACCTTCCTAGGTTTGTGATTATTTATTTTCGATCAAATTATAAACTTATTGGAGAACCTTAAGTTTATTTCCTTATTGCGGAGACAAAAATTAATAATACGCACATTTATATCGATTACGGTCACACGGAATATGTAAATTGGAATAATATTATAATTATAAGTATATTCTTCACCAGGTGTACAAGATACGTACGTATATTTTTGTTATACTCGTAGTTACGATTACGATATTGAGCCTTGTTTATAAACATTTATTTGGTTAATAATAATTGAATAAACTGTCTCACAAAAATTATCATAGTTTTGAATCGGCTTTTAAACTACTAACATCCGTCACGAATCGACAAGTTTTATACAACAATATGCATATTAAAAATACGGTGGATTGGTGTGATCCACAGCAACAATATAATTATTAAAAGCATCAGCAACAACAGGCATGGGTCATTACGATAATTATAAAAAATGTCATAGAATTGAAAATTTTAAAATTGTTCGAAAACTGACAATATAGTATAATTGCAATGAATTACGGAAGTTTAAATTAATTTCACTGATAGACAGTAGTTTTTCGGCTTTGTTTTATCGAACTTCACGACCGTTTCGTTAAAAAGCTTATCGGGTTCTTTTTAGTTTCTCTTTCCGCGAATATTGTACATAGTATTTAAAACGTTAAAAGGAATCTTGAGAAAAAAACTGTACTCCTCATATTGTTCTAAAAGTAGAGCGCCACAATAACCAAAAATCTCATTTTTCCCGAAAAAATTATTGACCGAAATTGGCGACATGACAATTTTCATGTCATTGTAATGAGATTTATATTTTAAATGACGTGTCATCATTTATTTTAAAAATATATTATAAATTGTAAAATAAATAATTTATATATATATATTTTTTTTGACAATAGAATTAAATAACACAATATAATTACATTGAAGTTTAAAATTTACTCAGTGAATGAAACATTTTGAATTCATCCATTTAAAATGTATTTAAAATACTTAATTTAATTATAATAATATATATGTATAAACCATTCTTCTATTATGATGTATTTTTAGTTATTATGCAAATGATAAATTGTATACATTAATAATCAAGGCGATATTTGTATTATAATAATACTTGATTTAATCATAATTTCAGTTACTTTTTTTTTTGTTATCAAAAATAAAATAAAATTTACAATCATATATCTTTATTTAAAAATAATCTGAAAAGTGTTAACTACATGAAAATTATTGTGTTAATGAATGAATTACGACATGAATAATTTATTTAAAATTATAATAGCAATAACAATTAAAAACTAACACGGAAAAATTACATAATGTTTTACAAAAATAGAAATTAGAAAATAAATCACGTTAATAAATAAAAGTTGGCGGCCAAATTATTATCATGTAATAAATATTAGAAGAATGTTAAATAAAACGCACATAGATAATCAATAAAATATTTCATATTTTTACTTAAAGCTATTGTAAGCTTCAATGTATGTTTACAGGTCACATACCATTCATTTTAAAAGCACGTTTCACGATTGCAGATAATACATTTTTAAATTTTTGCTTCAAGACTTAATACCGATATATTAAACTCACCACAATAAAATCATATAGTTTTTAAACGTCCATATTTAATATTCGCCAATAATTGTGAACAAAGACGAGGAGCTTATACATGACGTGTCGAGTACCCCCAACTATATTTTTATGAAATATAAAATACAAATAAAACTCTACTTCTGAAAAACATTAGATCAGAAATGCTATTAGATGCTTATACTAGGTCTGTGATATTTTTACGATGGCGATATCATCATTGCTAGTTAGGCCGCTAAAAAATAGTAAATTTCTGTAAATACACAAAAAAATTTTCAATGAGTTTCAATAACAGAAAATATCACTTTAGTTAGTCTTTTATGAAATATTTCTTCAGCCTGCTAACTTTTGAAGATTTTAAACTAATTGTAATATTTTCAGCTCAGCCAACAGAGCACTAAAGTGACAATTGTCTACATTTTTCAAAAATTGTACAACCATATTCAACTGTTAAAGTGCATCGGAAACCGAAGTCGAGTAAGTATAACTGTAAACATATTATAATTTAAAAGTATATGGAATAA